CCCTCCCCTGTCCCCAGGCAGCCACCATTCAATTTAACTGCGTCAGATATCGCATGTAACTGGTATCAGACATTTGTTTCATTGTGACTTGCTTATTCCACTTGGTGTATCTTGCGGGTTCATCCATGTTGTAACATGCCACGAGATTCCTTTCTTTGTTCATGAAGTAAATTTTGTGGAGAATGAAAAATGCACCTCCCTTTGACAAGCAGCGTTTGCATATGCGATTCACTAGTCAGAACGAGCACTACACCCAAAACGTAAGGCCTCTGAAAGCATTCCTCAAAAAGTTTAAAATTATGTTAAGTCCAAACCTAAGGATGAAAAAGAAGGGAAAGGCATTTTTCACTTTTGCAAAAGTAAATAAATAAAAATAGCTTACATTCAAGAGAAACAATATGTCAAATATGTCACGGCAAATAACCATACCTGCCAAGAATATAGTAAATATCTGAAGTTGCTTAATCGATGTTGTTAGGTCGAACTGAAACGTGAGCCATTGTTTTTCTAAAGGGCTTTTAAGTGACAGTCTATGATCTTGGAAGAAGGGACAACTCTCCACTTTTTAGTTGCTGTGTGGTGACCTGCAGACGTCCCCAGCCCCATTCCCAGGGTTTACCCTCATAAAGTCCAGTCCAGGCAGAGACAGGGGGAATGGAAGGCTTACTTAAGCCAAGTTTGTAAAGCTTAATAAAATTGAATTGGTATGGGAAGCCCGAAGTCTTATTGAAGTTTTTATATAAAGATGGATTTTCTAAGCAGCTTTGGAAGAACAACTGTTTTCTCTGCATGTGAACACGCCGACCACCACTTCTCTGCCAGTGGAGACTCACAAGTCTCCCACGTCCACACTCCTTCTGGTTCCTCGTCAGCCTCCCAGCTGTCTCCTGCCCTTGCCTCTCTCTCCTTTCTTTCCTTCCTCTTCTGTTCCTTTGGTGCCTGGTCTGTTCTTGACTTTCCTGGCTCCTCTGCTCCCGGGTTCTAATCTGCCAGGCCTCAAAGCTGGGTGGGTTTCACGTGAGTAAATACTCACATCCCAGAGCCCAGCCAGCTGTGTTGTCTTAGGCCTGAAGAGGAGCCAGTGCAGTTAGGGGTGGTGGGAGTAAGCTGTTTGGTGAGCTAGCTGTCTGGAGAATGGTTCTACGTAAATCTCCAAAAAGTGAAATTGGGTAAAATGCCCACAGAGGTAAGTCTTGGGTTGGAGTCAGAAGGCAGCAAAAGGAGAGGGTCTCACGGATGAAGGTGGAATGCGGGAGGGGCAGGAGTCTGTCTCCACTGCTGTCTGTCCCTGGGTGAACCAGGGCTGGGGCCTGCTCTAATAGGAAAAGAAAACTTAAAAAACAACATGGGATGTCTGACTGTGGTTCCCAAAACAATGTTCCAGGTGCGGGGAGCCTTCCTGACCCCCAGCATGGATGGAGGCTCTGCAAAGTCAATTTTTAGGATTCCCTGCTCAAAATGTTCCTTGCATCATTTTGGAACATAGCGTTCCAGAAAGAGCTATTTTATGGGGGGAAACCATGAGCACTGTAATTTCAATGTCTAAACTTATTCCTTTAATATCTTCAACCCTCCTGTTAAATGTAGGCAAATTCTGACAAATAATGGATTGATCCTCATGAACCCTTTTGAGCTTCAGATCGCCCCAGATCCCAGCCCTCATCTTCACTCTCCCATCCCTTACTGCAGGCCAAGCAGAGTTCATGCCAAGAGTGAATGCTGGGCTCTTCCGGACCCTCGCACCTGGGGACGGTGGAGCCTGCTGTTCCTTGCACCTGGAATGCCCTCACTCTTCCCTTTGCAGCTAAGTTCCAGTTTCCAAACCCAGCCAGGTCACTGGCTGTCAAAGTCTGTTCCAAGGCAGGCTTAGCTCACCTGGACGCCCCGACGACCTGGCCTCGCCCTCTGACAGGCCCTGGTATGCAGGTCCCTCTTTCCACCAGGCTATTTCTCCATCAGACAAGAGCTGTATCTCGTTCCTCATTGAATCTCTTGGCATTTAGAACAGTAACTGGCCCATAGTAGGTTCTTTAAAAGTGTTCACAGAATGAATGAATTCTTTATCATCAACATGTTTTGAATGTGGTGGCCTGTCAGGGCTGGAGCAGAGAAAGAGGGAAATTGCCAAGAGGAAAATGAGTGCTGGGGAGGGGGGTGCGGTCACTGGGAGTGGCAGAGGGCGAATTCCTCCCAGGACAGCTTCGCAGAGTGGCCAGCCCATCTCAGAGGCAGCTAATCTTCCCTTCTCACCGTTTCTTTGTACAAGGAAACTCTAATTGACTGTAGTTTAAGATGTGTGGACATTCTCAAAGGCTTGCCAAAGTGGTGTTGAATGGCCCGTATGTCACGTGATAAGACAGGGCAAGGTTAAAACTCAAATTTGCTTCGGATTTCTACCACTTACCATCTGCTGGTTCCCGGATCCCAGGTCACGTCCTTCTTACTTTCATGGTAAACATCACCAGCGATAAGCAACAGATGGAAAAAGTGGGACTCACATGGGGAGAAGGGTTAGATTTCACAAAGGCTTGAGAGAGGCTCATTTACTTCTCATAAATCCTAGAAAACAGAAACAACTGGAAGGCATCTTATTAAGAAAGGCCCACTTCAACTTGACCATGAGTCAAACAAGGAAGAAAAATTCGTCAGAAGGAGAAACTAAATCCCAGATATCACCTGTCAACAGATTCCTCCAGGGCTGCAAGGCTGAAAGGGGGGAAGAGAACAATGACCTTGGATCAGATGGTTCCCACCCCAACCATGGGGCTCTGAGCACGGCCACCCAAGACGCCGGTCAACTTCTGGCTGCTGGTAAATCTCTGTAATGTTTTCTCCTAAAGAGATCTTGTGGGTTCAACTAAAACTATGACTCTCTGTGCTAAAGATTTCTATCTCTTAAATGCCTTGAATAATTTGTAATTTTACTTTTAAATTATAAAAAGCAATATAATGCTATAGAAAAGTTTATGGAAATTACCTAATTTCCTTTCATTATAGCACAAATAGTCATTTCTGCAAAATTTTTTAGTTTTTTTTTTCATGTGCAGGCATTTATTTTTGTTCAGTCGGCCAGGTCAGTCAACAAACATTTTTATTGAGTGCCTACTGTGTGCCAGCCACTGTTCCAAGTGTTAGAGATACGGCCAGGACAAATAGGATTGTATTAGACAAAGAATAGATGTGGATATGATTTCAGGTGAGAAAAGTGACGTGAAGAAAATAATGCAGGCTAAGGAGGTGGAGAGCAATGGGATGGGGCACCATTTTTTTTTTTTTGAGACAGAGCCTCAAGCTGTCCCCCTGGGTAGAGTGCCATGGCATTACAACTCACAGCAACCTCCAACTCCTGGGCTCAAGCGAGTCTCTTGCCTCAGCCTCCCAAGTAGCTGGGACCACAGGCACCCGCCACAATGCTTGGCTTTTTTTTTTTTTTTTGGTTGCAGCCATCATTGTTGTTTAGCGGGCCCAGGCTGGACTTGAACCCACCACCTTAGGTGTATGTGGCTGGAGCCTTAGCCACTTGAGCCACAGGCGCCGAACTAGGGGCACCATTTTGGATGGGGCTGCAGGGCAGCATTCTCAAGCGGGTGGCAGGTGAGCAGAGATTGGAGGACACCAGCCGTGTAGAGAGGAGGAATAAAGCCACTTGGGCACATGTGTTCCAGACAAAGGAAACGTCAAGAGCAAAGCCCTGGGTGGGACTGTGGCTGGGGAGGTTGAGAGAGAGTCAGGAGGTGGGAGATCCTGGGGCAGGCAGAGCGATGGGAAGAGGGAGAGGGCAGCAGAGACTTCAGAGAAGCCACCGGGCCATGTGCTGTGGTGTCACAGCTCACAGCAACCTCAAACTTCTGGGCTCAAGTGATCCTCTTGCCTCAGCCTCCCACGTAGCTGGGCCTATAGGCACCTGCCACAATGCCAGGCTAGTTTTTCTCTTTTTAGTACAGATAGGGCCTCGCTTTTGCTCAGGCTTCTGAGCTCAAGGGATCCACCCTCCTACAGGTGTGAGCACTGCCTGGACCCTGCGGCATATTCTTATATCTCTCAGTCCCCACATTGCTGCACGGTGGCCCTACACACGGTGTTCATGCGTAATTCTCCATCACATGCCTTTGCCATAATTAATAAGTTTCTTTGTTGATCCTTCAGGAGTATTTTTGACATTCCTTTTTCCCTTCCCTCTTCACTGTATTTGGCTTTTTAAAAAGTACAAATTCCTCAAACAGGGATTAATTCAAAGGTTATGAAAATATTGCCAAATTTCTTTAGGTTGTATATGCAATGACATCAAGATATCTATTAGATCGGCATGGTGGCTCATGCCTATGATCCCAACACTCTGGGAGGGTGAAGTGGGTGGATCCCTTGAGCCCAGGAGTTGTAAAACCAGACTGAGCAAGAGTGAGACTTTGTCTCTACTGAAAACAGAAAAACTAGCCGGGAATTGTGGTGGGCGTCTGTAGTCTCAGCTACTCAGGAGGCTGAGGCAGGAGGATCATTTGATCCCAGAAGTTTAAGATTGCTATAAGCTGTGATGCCATGGCACTCTGCCCAGGGTGACAAAGTGAGACTGTTTCAAAAAAAAAAAAAAAGGTATTATTCATTATATTAAATACATTTTAAAAAACATTTTAATTTTTATACAAACATGTACAACTAACAACTCCTGGCCAATCCTGTTCTGTCTAGGTATCCTTCTTTCCATCACACTGTTTGGCATCAAATACCAAAATACAGTTTTACCAGCAAGTAGATTAAATGTACCTGAAGTTTTTGTAAATAGGCAGGTAAAGCCTACCCTTAAAAGAATACTTTCTCTATCAGAAAATAGCTCATTTTTGCTCTGAAGCATGGTCTGGAGCTTCAGGAAAGTGCTTACTGAAGACCTGTGATCATGACAGTCAGCAGTGCAGAGCCAAGCCGATGGGCATCCCTGCAGGGCAGTGCTGGCCACCCGGGCCCTGCCTGGTGCTCCATTTTGGTGGCTCCCACATCTAGCAGCTCCCTGGGTCACATTGTCCTGCCCCGCTGCTCTCCCAGCCACTGATCCCCCTGCTGTTGTCCAGCTCCCGTCACCTCTTGCGGGAGCACAGACGGGTCCTGATGGCTCTCTGCTTTCCGTCTGGCTCTCCTGACGACTACCCTCTGTGCCAACACCAGAGCTTTCTGAGCACAGGCTCCATGGTGTCTCTCACCTGCTTCAAATCCTTCTGAGTCTCTCTTGCTTTGAAGAGGAAGTCCACTGCCAGGTACGGCCTTGCAGGTGTTCCTGGTCAGGTGGATGCTGCGTTCTTTGTGACCTCCCCCTTCCCCACCTCCCACCACAGCCCCACAACCATCCTCTGCTTCTGACATTCTGGCATTACCTGCCATTTCCCTAATTTTCTGCCGGCCTCCAAGAAGTTCCCTGTGCCTAGGAAGAGCCTCCCTCCTGTAGCATCTACCCCCCACCAAGCCTCCCTGCTTTATCCCTCCCTGGTGTCCCCCCCACACTCCTCCCTGCTTTATCCCTCCCTGGTGTCCCCCCCCACACTCCTCCCTGCTTTATCCCTCCCTGGTGTCCCCCCACACTCCTCCCTGCTTTATCCCTCCCTGGTGTCCCCCCACACTCCTCCCTGCTTTATTCCTCCCTGGTGTCCCACCACCCACTGACTCCTGCTCATTCTTCAAGGTTCAATTCAAACACCAGTTTCTCTTGGAAGTTTCCCAAGACCCACCCTCCACCGCCGGCACCACCACACCTGAGGTGCGTTTAGTCACCCAGGGGTGCCACCACACGCCTCTCTTCTGTATTTCGTTAGGCAGGGGGCTCTTTGAAAACGGGAGCTTGTTTGTTGTCTTGGCCCCTGCACAGCTCCACCTGTGCTACATGCAATGATGCTCTGTGAGGTCACAAACACAAACCAGCACACACAAGCCACTCCTGACATTTACGTTGGAAAGGAACCTGGTGTTAAGATACCCCCGTAGCTCAAAGAACCAGGAGCTTTGTTCAACGCAAAAGCAGCCAGGAAAAGGCCTTGATTTGCTCCCCAGAACCTCTTGTGTGTGGCCACTGCTGGGTCCTTGTGGAGCACCAGCCCTCCCAGCCCGGCCAAACTGTAGCAGCTCTGACCCAGGGGTTTCATAAACCATGTTTAGCCATGACAGGAGGAATCCTTTGAAGAGGAGCTTCAAAGCTTCACTGGTTAAAAAAAGAGAGAGAAATATATGGTCTATGAGATGTCCAGAGGCCTCAGAAGTTTGTATTAATGCTTATAGTTAGGTATTTTATTCAAGATTTATCATGTTGATTAATTGAGGTGCTGCAAAACCAATATTTATTCATTCATTTATTTGTATATCCAACAAATATTTACCAAGTATGCCTTAGGCCCTGTAGACTCTCATGTCCCTGGGAGGCTCCAGGAAGTTTAAGTCACTACCAGGAAGGAAACGGTCGCCTTTTCTAGGTGAGTAACTGAGGCTCAGAGAAGTCAGTGACTTGTTCATCTTCCACCTGTGCTGACCTGGGCTTGTCAGTCGTGTCCAGAGTCACCGAGCACAATGTGGGCTCAGAAGAGATTTCTGAAGCCGTCAGTTGGTAGGTCATGCTGGTAACCGTGGAGAAACAGTTTATTTGGACAGGTGAGGATAGCAAGCCGAGGTGGAGAGTCAGCTGGTAAATGTGGTGAAAAGTTGGGCCAGGAAGCCAGCTCTC